AAAGACTAATTTTTTAGGGGCGATTAAGTGCATTTATCCCTCAAATTCTTATTAATAAAATAAAATCAAATGTAAAAATATAATTCTCGTAAAGCATCAGGACATTTAATTCTAATTATTCCATGATGATATTTCAATACTGTAACAGTATTTTTGTAACAGTACTAATTTTAGGAATTTTTAAAAATATATTTACCCCTCAAATAAAAAAAATAAAAATACAATAAAAAAAAGTATTACTGTAATGCATCTGGATTTATTTTTTTATTGTAATTCTCATTATTCCTAAATATTCTCATCAAGGTAACAGTACATTTTTACTGCATTGCAATAAATAACGGATGATATTTCACATAAAAATGGTAAAGGCTAATTTTAGGACTATTATGTTTTTATTTTATTTATATAATGTTTTTTGCATTGTAAGACTATTTTACAATGCAATTGTACTCATTTGACAACTGAGTACATCTACCCCTCAGACTCTCATTAATAAAATAAAAATAAATAAATAAAAAAGACCATTAATGGAATCATTTTGTCCTTTAGTTTTTTTTTTTTTTTTTGGTAATTCTCATTATCCCTGCAATAAAAAATTAATGATATTTTACAAAAAAAAAACGTTAGTGAGGACTAATTTGAGAACTATTGTTTTTTTTGTTTGGTTGTTGTTGTTGTTTTGGATTGAGACACTATTTTTGACAATTAAGCACATTTACCCCTCAAATTCTCATTAAAACAATAAAACAAAAATAAAATAAAATAAATAAATAAAATAAAAGTCATTAATGTAACATTTTTTTTGGAATCCCCATTACTGTAACAGTGCGTTTTTACTGTATTGCAATAAAACTTAACTAAATAGTTTAATTCAGCATAAAGACATTACAACAATGGTGCATTCAAACAACAAATAAATAAATAAATGTCACATGCATTCACATACAGACGTTTTGGGTGAAATATGCTTAACTGTAATGGCTGTTCATGCTACTGGTGTTATGTACAGGCTTTAATGTCTTTAAGTAAAATGCTTTATTCTCAGTGATGTTGAGCTGGATGTGTGTTCTGTGATATTGTTGTGTTCATGCGTATCTGGTTTCTCATAAAGGTCTCGCTGGCCTACTTCTCTCCGGCGCTAATTTTAACCGTGATTCTGTCAGGAGGAGCGATCCAGCGCTATATTCCTCATTCTCACTGTAATGGCTTATTAACGACTCAAATGTTATTCCAAACCAGAGCCTTTTGTTCTTGTCAGATATTAAGATGGGCTTTAAAAATCCCATTAGTTTCGCGCGGCAGATTTCCGCTGAGATTCGCTCCCTTCTCCCCACAGGCTCTTACGATACAATTCCAGTTCCTTCACAAACCCACACTCAGAGAGATGGAGATTCAGAGACGATCAGAGCGCTACTGTCTTCAGATTAGAGAGGAGCGAGTAAGATGCCTTTATCCCGGATAATCTGCCTCTAACAGGCCAACTTTAACCAGCACTGCTGACACTCACACATCCACTAATCAGTTTACAGATCACCAGATGAAACACACAGCGCAGAAAACACACACACACACTCAAGCACACGTACACACACACACACACACACACACACACACACACA